TTTTTGACTCTATTACTGAAAAATGCTAAACTTTAAGTGTAGAAATTAATCAGGTTGTTTAAATACAAGCCCAGCATTCTACAGAATCAACTATATAATCTTTACATCTTAAGTGTAAGGAAAAGATTGAAGGCAAACCAACTAGAATACTTTAACAGATATTATGGAAAGAATTAGCCATGTGAAACAACCAGAATCCAAACCTAAGCTAGACTGCCATTTGCAGAATATCGTATCACAATTGTGCTGTGTGTGCCCCCAGAAGTAGGTAAAGATACTGATCTGAAATACTGTAAAAACTTCAGCAAAACTTCAATTTTGAAGCTCAGCAAAGCAGCTATAAAGATTATAAAGAATTGATAGGTAGGGTCGCTGCAATCTGTAATGTGATATGACAAGCGTCTACTTCAAAATCCAAATTCTGAACTGGTGGGTAAAGAGGTTGGTTTTATTTTCATCAGCCACCCACAGATCAGAGTAACTCCTTTGGAATTCCATTGGGCTTCAGCAAATCCATATTGTGAAATGTTTCTTACCTCGTGCAATGTTCCAAATTCTTACGCATCATGATAATTAGAGGGCCAAAAATTTAACCTGGGAATATAAACTAATACTGTATTATTTATCTGCAGGCGTTTCAAGTCTCCCTGTGCTAGGTGCTTTACAAAAGAAGGACAGAAAAGCATACAAGCCAAGCGAAATACTACAGACAAGAGAGAAATTTTATCTTTTTAAACACAATATCAGAGACATGACTTGTAGATTTGATAGCATTCAAAATTCTTTGCCCTTACAACTGTTACATGAATTCCTGGCCTTTGCAGGAAGCAATGCATTTTTGACCATTACAATTTTTTTTTTTTCCATAACGACAGATAACATATTTGATATTTTAAATATTTAGATTATCCAGATCAAATATTAGCCAGGTAGTTCAGTACCAGGCACTTTAAAATATGAGGTCCTATGGTTTAAAACTTGTGCTTTCCCTTGGCATCAAAGATCGCAGAAACAGTTTTTACCTTAGCATCATCACTGAATGCCCTAATGCCCTTTCCCATCATTCTTCAGAGCATGTGTTATACTGCTTAATGATGATCCAAAACTCTGTATCTAGCTTTATTTGAATAATGCTGGTGTGCATGCTGCTGTAATATAACCTTTAGCTATCCTTTGGGGCAAAGGACAGTAAGAAAATGAAAGAGGTCATCTCTTTAGGAATACTGTAGCCATCAACAGAAAAGGAAAATACTTTATACAAAATCTGAAAATTTATGGATTTTTAAAAATCTAAGAAGTTACATATTTCACTTACTGCCATTGCTCAATGAAAATAAAAAGAAATTCTTGTAGAAAAGACTTGCCCATAAATGAGACAGTTGAACAGAAAGAGTTGTGTGCCTATGAATTGTAGTTCCAGACTGCTTATACTCTGCCTTAAAGCTGTGTATTCTTTCTCTGTACTTGTGCAATGCATTTATATTGGAAGGTCCTCTTAAAACTGGGTGATCTATTGGTTTAGGGAGATAAAGATTAGTTCCAGATGTGGTCATGCTCTTCCAGCCCTTCAAAAAGTAACTACTGCACCATCTGCTTTGTAACAGACAATTTCAAAGAGTGCCAAGGGGAATGTTAAAGACATTGGTCAAACAGCCACATATACCGCACACACAGGAATCCTAGAGGTCATAGTGCCTCAGACAGATTCATATTTTCACTTTTTTCTCTCCATTGTTCCACCACGGAAACTCAAGGAACAGCTCTCCTTCCTCCCAAAATAGGAAGGAGATGTTTTCCAGATTATTACCAGCGTTGACATGTATGAGGTGAAATTCAGACCTGAATTCAGTGGAATGACTGGAATTCATGGTGACATCTCTCTTATACCTGCCCCACTTTTGGATCCTTGTAGACTATTCCAAACAGCTTTGTTTTTTTTTTTTTTAAATGAACTCAGTAGCAGGAGATTAATGTTAAACTGACTTCTGATCTGGCTGGTTGCCCAAGACAGAAGAAGGGTCCAACAGGTAATGAAGGGTTATTCCAGATCATGATAATTTTTATTTTTCCTGGTTATTTCAGGAAGCTTGAAGTAAAGGAATTGTGTCTGTTCTTGTAAATACAGTGTTATGCATCGATATCTAAATCTTGGGTATATAATGAAGATGCACGCAGGTCTAGCACGAACATAACTTAAATTCTTCACAACGGTAAAAGCGGAGTAAAAGAAGTTCTCTCAAGACTTCCTAAGTATAAATCTGAACTTCAGAGCAGTAACTCATGATTTATACCAAATAGTCCTCAGAAAAGGTCTAAAATGAAAACAGAAGGAAACAGAAAATCTACTAGAGGTTAGACAATCACAAGCTTGTGCACTCCCAGAAAGGCATTTTTGCTGCAGTCACATTAAGTAAACTATTGGTAAAAAGAAATAAAGATTAACAATGTGTCACCAGTTCACTCCTCTTTGGTTTTTCCAGTGCATCCAGTCATGTTTTATAACAATTCTTGTAATAAGTTATTACAAAAATAGCTTAGGACTAGCAGACCAGTGCACCTACTTAAGTTTCATTGACTTTGCTGTAGTTCTCTCCATTCAACAGCACACTGCAGAAGCAGTGCCTTAGCCTGTAAGTTTAGTGTCTGGGTATACTGCAGCTAGATCTTCAAATTCAAAGTTTGCTGCTGGTAAGAAAGAAATAAATTAGTAGGAATAACAGCTCCTCACCTTTTGCCTCTCCTTAGTATTATTGGAATTTAATTTCTCTTAAGCCACGGTCTATTTGGGTGGTGTAAGGGAATTCCACACAGTAATATTTGCATTTTTTCAGTATTAAACATTATTAAAACAAAGAAAGGTTGGAAAGCGGAATAGGAAATGTCTGCTTTGGAAGGCTTCATCACCGCTTTCAAAATTAAAGACATCCAAAAGAAATACATTCTGAGAGGCTAATATACATACTATGGGAGGATGCATACACACCTGTTAGCTAAAGCAAAGGCCCAATGGCTTAGGATAAGATTTAATTCAAAATATTAGACTCAAAAAATAACACTTAGAACTAGACATTATACATTGCAGCTGCTCACAATTACACTCCAAACCAAAAGCTGAAAGCAGAAAATGATGCCTGAGAGAAGGATCCAAATCAGAAAATATTTTAAGGGAAAATCATGTGGAGCTAGCTTATAGAAATCATAGGGAAGAGATGGTTTTGAAATCCCAGTCTCTACAGAGCTAACGTATCTCCTCCAGAGCTATAGAAACATCTCTCATTTCATCTTATGTAGGTACTTGTACTCCCCCAAAACCCCACAAAACAAGCCAAACAAACAAATAAACAAAAAAGCAATCCATATAAAACACACTCTTGCAAACCAAGCAGTGTAGTAGTCACACCTCTTGCTGAGGCTGGTGTTCCTGGAAGAAAAGACCTCTGGAATGAAGAGGTATTTAGGGAGAGTTTTGTTTTACACATTCGTATTACACCTCAGCTTAATTCCTGCTTTTGTTTAAGAACTTTTAACCTTTTTTTACCCATTCTAGAGCATCGTTAATAGATTATCAGAGTCACAAATCCTACTCTATTCCCGTGCTTTCTAGGCACAAATTCTGCCTTTAACTAAGTCATGCAACACAGGGCTGAAAACTGACCCATCCTTTGAAAAAGACTCAAGAATTGGCTTAGGTGAGTCATTAGCTTGAGCTCAAATAAACAAAATCCAGAAATTCACTGCCAGTAACTCCTCTCTCCTTATTCCATAGTGGACCTAACTCTAAATTCAACCCTAAATGTACAGATAAATCTTTCAAAGCTCACTGTTTTCTGGGCTGAGAGGCCAATTTGCTCCAGCTGAGACCAGCACTCACCCACTTCACTCTAAGGACAGACACCTGTGGCACAACTTTTGCAAGGGAAAAACATGCCAGCCACTTGCTAGCTACTGGTTGGGTCATACGCACCCTGTCAAAGTGATCTATTTAATTTAAGATGTATAGATCCAAAATTATACAGCCCAGAGAAAAAAGAAAGCAGTCGTTTTATTCACTTGACACATGCTGCCTTGAAGAGTTCAATTTGTAACAGTAGTTAATAATTCACAAACAAAAGAACACAGTTTTAAAAAATAACTTATTTGTTCCTCACAGCAGAGGATTAAGACATGGTGTACTGGGTAACTGGTACAGTATACATGCTCCATGGAAATAATTGTATTTCTATTGCACATTTTTTGGAAAACTTTATCACTTTAATTTTCGTTGTCTTTGTACCTCAGAGGCGAGGATTATTACAAAGAAAGGTCTGTTTCTTTTCTCAGCCATCTTTTGAAATGGCTGGATAGTAGTTCTTTATTTGAGGTCATTTTTTTCTTTTGCTGACAATGTTGCACCCAGCTAGGACGGATGTTTTCCACCTGACCACCTCCCCAGATCACAATTACCAACCACAAACTCCATGTCGCTGATGACGACCCCCTGGTTCGCCTGACAGGAGGAGCTCCTCCTTTACTGTTGTGAGGTTACAAGTGTTGCCGGGCAAACAGCACAGGAATAACCCCAGCCACACACAAGGACACAGTTTTGGGGCACAGTTGTGCCCTGTGGAACAATTGCCGTGGGTCTCTCCGCAGCACCTGCCACGTACCCCGCGCCCACTTTCCCCGCCGCCGAACTGCAGGAGGTTAGCCCGCCGCCTTCTACCATGCTATCTTTCCACGCAGGCAATTGCTGAAGGTGTACAACTGGCCACGGGGAAACAGATGCCACGGCCGTTCTCCGCACTGAAACTAGACCTACCCCAGAAATCCTGTATCAGCATTTCGATGGATCTTTGGCTTTTGCACGTTACGTGTACCTATTATGTGCACGTGCAGTGGATATATAACGTGTGCAACGCAGTGGACGCATAATGTTTGCAATCATTTGCGATCCCTATGCACTCTGGGGACTGAACCCTTGTGAAAATCTGGCTTTTAAGGTGCTGTCCCCCAAATTACAGGCTGCGTTTGGGGGACAAAGCCACGGCCTCTCACTCTCGGCTCCCCCACCATCCTCCGAGGGCCGGCTCCCACCTCCGTTATCCACCCGTGCGGAGCGGGGCCGCGCCACACCGCTAGGCCCAGCCCGACCCGGCCCAGCCAGGCCTAACAGCGCCGGAGCGGGGCCGTGCCGC